CATTAGGCCACTGTACCGGAACACTGTGGTGCAAATTTTCTTATTTTCTTTAGGTGTGACCTCCATCCAATGCTGTCATTGAGTAACTTTTCTCATGTCCGAAATTGTTTACCCCGCCGTTCATGACTTCTTATTAGAGTTTCGAGAAATCTCATCTCACATTACATCACTTGTGATCACCAGATAGTAATTAAATCCGGAAGTTTCGGAGGACTTGTTGATTGATTTTCAGTTGGCAACCATCACTGACCCACATCGATTGCAGTACAACTGAAAAATTTAGAATATGTTGCAGTCAAATTAAAGAATGAAAATAACCTGAAACAGTACATTTTTAGTTCCAATCGCTCCTAACTGCAGAACCTCAGATGCACGTTAATAGTTGGTAAGACAGAAATTAGTTATTCAAGAAGTTTAAGAGTGCGATACAGGTCGTTACATTTTTGTGTCCCCAGAATGGGCTACAGCCAAAAAGGTTACACTGATTGTTCATTGAAGAGCAACTGGTTTAATATTGTCTAATGCTGATTGTTGACCGAGTCTTATCATGTTGGTATCCATCATGGACTGACATCAGTTGGAGGGACATTGGAAATCTGGGAGCACTTGACAGCTGTTCCGTCCTAGCATGGGACTTCTCAGTAATACGCACACATGGCCCCACATGCCTGAGGAGTCCGACCTCGAGATGAAACAGCTGCCAAGTGCCCCCGGGTTTCCAGTGTCCCTCCAACTGATGTCAGTTTACGATGAATACCACCTTGAAAAAGCATTCAATCCCTGTAAACTCACAAATTGGGATATATAACTTTTGTGCACTCTGTGCAAACATCCAGGATGTGTTTATGTTATTGCTTGTGCTACCTCATCGTTGATATAATCAGAATTATTGATCTTTGTCGGTATATGCGCTTGTACTAATCAATCCAGCTCATTCAATGACTGGATGATACAAGCAAATGCATAGAAACCATACCTATCGCACGAGAAGTGGCCGAGGAGACTCGGTGGCTTAGTGGATAGCGCTCTGGCATTTGAAGCGGTTAGCTCCAAGTTCGAGACTTAGCGGAGGCAACATTGCTCACTGAGGTGCAGGTACATATTTCTGACAAGTCCGAAATAGGACAAGAGGTTTTTTCTTGGATTTCACCACTAGCCACTACTATTACAATGAAAAGTATTTCTTATAACTTTAAACTACTTGTTAGTAGTTCACTATAACGCTTGAAATTGTGGACATGTTTCGCGAGGTTTCTTTTTTACTGAAAATACTCTACTTTCAAATATAAAGTGTGTCAGGACCCCATTATACTCCTACTTCCAAAGCAAACTTAGATTCAGCAGCTTGTTCGAAATGTGTTAGAATTTTGTACTAGCTTAAAATTCAGGGTGTTCATAAGAAATGATCCATTACGACTGTTATTTGAAGATTTATTTCACTGACATAGGTATAAAAAGATTTTACTTTGAATTCATGAATTGAATGATACATGCAAGCATTCTGAATATCATTTAAAACAGCCTCCTACGGCTGCGATATATGAAATTGTTACAGATACCGATAAAAATTTCAAAATCTACCTTGAACACTGTAATTTCCTTGGCGGTAGCCAATAATAAAATCCAGGACGCACGTTTCGTCCCATTTGGGATCCATCAGCTGGATATACTCCCATCTCAGTGAGTGGTGCTGTTTTTACTGAAAAGCAAGCCCAACAACAACAACCGTAAGAACCGTAATGTTATCCATTAGGCTACTGAAGCATGAGGGATACCTCTTATTCAACGGGTATGAGTACCACTACCAGCCACACCAAGCTAATAAAAAACATGAATAATCACAGGGTATTGAAGCATCCACACAGAGGTTCACAAAGTAAGGCAGATATATCATTTCGATTCGGTGAAACAATAGGAAATCACAACTATCAGCAAATGATGCCTTAGATGCTGTTGCCCTCTTTTCTAAAGGGATTTATTTCTTCTGCGGATAAATTCAGACCCCTTTTTCGAGATTGGTACCGGATTTCAGTTTAATCTCAAGCTTTAATCTCCATCTTTTGGGACATGTCTACCAACTGGAAACCAAACAGCATTATGGATTAGCTGACAGTTTACCTAAACATTTTTATTTTTATCATCACTCTTAAATTTATTCTTCTGATTTCCAATGCATGAAAATTCATGCTATAATACAACGCTGTTTTCCATTCTATTTGTCGTTGAATATTTAGCACACTGAAAAAATATTGCTTACTGGATGACGTTTCAAACACACTTTGATGCATGTATTCATATGAGACATAAATTAAAGTTTTCCATACGCCGTTTTTTGGTTTTATTTCTTCTGCTTACTTTTCTTACGGGTAATAAAATTTCTCAAACATCCGAAATAGGAAATAAAACGCATAATATAAACCTTATTACTCAGCGACTATTCTTATAGAATCATTTAGAAATGTATGAGAAAGTGCAAGAGGAAGATGAGTAATATACAAATTATATACATAATAATAATGGCAAACCAAGAAACCAGAATTTAAACCTCTGTGATGATACCATACGCGGAATGTACTTTTGGTCAAGTAAGATTCTCAACAGCACTGAAACTGGGTTGGTATTTGAACCTACATTTTATTAGAATATAAACTTTGTAGAATAATGTATCTTATAGAGCCCACTAAACAAAATTTATTGGTTATTCAAGCCAAAAAAACAACTAAGGTCAAATGGGTGGATCAAAGTAGTCAAACGTGATCGGTCAGAATAAAAAATCATAAAAGTACTATAGAATCTAGAATGGTAGATCCTTGGCAGATTATTCATCTACAGAGGAAGTTAACCGAAGTAATGCATGTAATCGCACAATACTACACAATATTTGACGACAGTGACAGTCCTAAAAATTAACTTATCACAGTCGAGAAAGAGACTGGTAACTGAAGTTTTGTTCAAACAATCAAAAGTGAGCAGATGTCATGAAAGAAACTCATTAACTATTACAGATATCTGATAACTTCTATAACAGAAGAAATAGAACTATAAAACACCGTGTAGAAGATGGTAGTTTACGTCAGATAAGGATTTATGCAATGAGTTCCGTTTGGAACATCATCTAATAAATAATATTCTGAGGGAGTTGTGGAGATTTGGAATTATTTCAAGTTGTTATTCATCGAAGACTGACATCAGTTAGAGGAACAAAGGAAACCTGGGAACACTGGACAGCTGTTTCGTCCTAGTATGGGACTCCTCAGCAGTGCGTACCCACGACCCCACCAGCAGGGACCGAACCCACGACCTTGAGGTCCCGAGGCCAGCGTGTTACCATTGAGCCACTGGGTCAGAATACAATGCTCCATATTTCCAACTTCTGTTAGCTCACGATATATAGCGCAACCGCCACCCAATGTCAACGCTGAGTATCTGTCCTCATGGCCATCAGGCTAGCTTCGAGAAGTATTCCCGAAGTTCCAATGAGAAGTCGTGACCGGTGGAGTCAAAGCCTGATGGCCATGAGGACAGATACTCAGCGTTGACATTGGGTGGTGGCTTGCGCTATATCGTGAGCTAACACAAGTTGGAAATATGGAGCATTGTATTCTGACCCAGTGGCTCAATGGTAACGCGCTGGCCTCGGGACCTCAAGGTCATGGGTCCGATCCCTGCTGGTGGGGTCGTGGGTACGCACTGCTGAGGAGTCCCATACTAGGACGAAACAGCTGTCCAGTGCTCCCAGGTTTCCTTTGTTCCTCTAACTGATGTCAGTCTACGACGAATAACAACTTGAAATAATATTCTTTCAATGTATTGAATGTTCAACAAACAAACTAACATGGAATTAAACACACCACAGTGTCCACATTCTACGTTTACACTGATGAAAGTATATATTATCGATATCAGTGAACTCATGTTTATGATAATTTTTCCTCAAGAACTTAATCAAACAATCTAATTCATTCAAATACTGATTCAACTCCAGTCCTTGGAGGCTTTTACGTCACATGCTACTAACAATGTGTGGCCACTTATAACTTACCAAGGAGCATTGAAAATTGTTTTAACTCTATCGTCACTTGTCATATTTTTGAGTGATTACTCGATATAACCTAAGTTATATATACATGCAGACACTTGAACAATAACCTTGAGATTCCATTACTTGAAGGTTGCTCAGTTTTCTTGATAAACTGAACAAGCGGTAATATGACAGAAAATATACTGCAATGTCAAGAATATGTACAAAATACAGGGTCTAAAAATATATTTACAATGACCTTGACCATTTCCACGCCTTTCTAGACTTGAATCCTATAGATTTTTCTTCTCTTCAACCAATCAGATATTTTCACATTGGTTCTTAAAAACGTTCTGCGCGAAACGATTGTTTATAAGAGAATTCTGAGATATAGGGCATTTTATGCAAATTTTATCAATCTTATTGCACACTTTAACGCGACCATAAGAGTATTAAGTAAGGATTTATTATTATTAGTTACTATGTGTTTCTTTGTTAAGAAAAGTTATTCTGCTACCTGCATGGGTTTCAACTGTTAATACTTTTAACGCTTATCATAAACCTGCTATGATGATTTTTTTGAAGTCGGAGATGATGATGATGATGATAAGTTTAATCTAGCAATGGACAGTGATAACGCTACTTCACATATTATCTAAATTTGTAATCTGTATTGACTCAATCTCAGCTGAACAAGTGAGTTTTATGTGCTAACAGGGGTTCAACTCGAAGGAGTACAGTGTTTCTGAGTCGTAAGCTGGGATAAATAACTGTTGAATACTCATTGGTTCTCGGATATTCCGCATTTAGTGGAGAATTATGTGCTAAAAGAAGTTATTTTAGGCACTACCAATTGGAAACGGTATTTGACTCGAATGAATAAGCAAACACTTCACACAATACTAGTTATAAATATGCTAACACTTTTTGATGCATTCCATCGAATTCTAAAATTTTCCTTTTCTCTTCTGTATTACAGATCAATGGTGAAATTCATCCAAATTCAAAATTTACTTGTTGGGAGATAACTCCTAAATTGTTTGAGTATAAATTTCCATGGATTAACAATGATGGTGATGATAATTTGACTACTCTGTCATCAATAGAACAAGTTAATGATGATGATTATGATGAAAATGAGAATGAGATATATCCAAAAGTCTCATCGTTAACAGATGTGGAATTCACAATGAAGTCTGATTTATACAGTAATCAAGAAACTTCATACTCACTATTTCCTAATGATTATCGAAAATTATTTAAATTAAGTAGACCAGAAATAGCGCACACCACTGTACCTGAAGGTCATCTATCACCAGATTTAACAATGAATATAACAAATCGTATGGTACATTGGTTAAAATATGGTGAGAAAGCTAAACCTCATAGACCAATGATTAAATATCTGCTAATTACGTGTAATGATTGTAATAATGAACAAAATATTATTGATCCAAAGAAGGTAATTTAAGCCATCTATATCATGCTGACTTTTTTGTTTTGCACAGATTAACAAAATTTAGGTGGTTAGCATAATTGATCGACCAAATCTAAATCCGATAGTTGATTACATACTAGAAAATAAAAAAAGTATGAACTTCACTTTCTGGACGTTTTCTCAACAGAAGGCTGACTGAATTTTTTTTTCCAAAATGAGGTAATAAAAAGGGTATCAAACGAGTTTCCTTGGTCGGAATCTTCAAAACAGATAATGTCAAGTAATTTTCGTCTCACCCTTAAGAAGCATACAAATTATGGTATGTGAAAAAGAACTTGTCAAATTATTTATGAATGTTATTTTCCGTTAGTATACTGGATCGAATTGATCACCCCTGTTGGGATGTGGACTTGCATACGGATGCCTCGACATTACCAGAATGTTCATTGTTATAATTTACCTGGTGGTGGCTGGTGCTGAAATCCAGGACGTGTTTTTCATCCTATTTAGGACTCGTCATCTGGATGTAATTATACTCCTATGAGCGATGGTGTTCCCACTGAGCTTGAATCCTCGTACCAATGACTTCAAATGTCAGAGCGTCACCTGACAGGACACTGAGTCCTAATCTTGATGGTAATGACATCACTCAGTGGGATTCAGGTACATCCAGCTGACGGGCCGCAAACAAGACAAAACGTGATACTGGATCACCTTGTTAAACGCCACCAAGCAGGTTGGAAGTTGTGGAATGTCTAGGTAAAATATTTTCTAGTTCTAATCTGACGGAATTCGCCCAGTCCTTATGACACTATGAACATTTTTCTGCAGATTAAAATTTCATGTATATCAGCAGTTTTTAAAAAATTTACTTTGTAAAAAAGTGTGACTGGTTATATATACATCGTAAGCAACTCTGCTTCTAAGCATATTCCTGAAAACTACTGTTTCAAGTTATTGAGAAGGTGATATAAATCAATAACGATTAGAATTTATGTACATTAAGTCAATAACAGTCATCTTGATCTACTATACACTTAATCTCAAGTTGTCTGTTGGTACGACCAGCTCATGTTTGTGAGAGTGGACACTTGAACAACAATCTTCAGATTTCACCACTTATGGTTGCTCTGTTCCTTAGTAGATAGAAAGGGTGTTACAACTTCAACATACAAAATACAAGGATTTATATATATATTTGCAATGACCATGAGCATTTCTACGCCTCTGTGGAAAGATATATCCCACTGATTTTGCCATTTTCAACCAACCTGATATTTACGCGTAGGTTGGCATGCTTTTTCTCAAAGCTTCAAAGTAACACGATTAACTGTGAGAGGTTTCAGGGATTTAGGTTTTCTTATAAGGATCTAAGTGATCTTTTTGCATACCATAACAGTTATGACGCTATATTCAGTTTCTTCTAAAGATTGCATATTCTTCACTTGGACACAAAGACAACACTTTTAGTGCATTGACTTTGATCCAGACTGTGCAAATAAAAGTGAAATATTAGTTTACATATTTCGATTCATTATTTTACTTCGCATACAATATCCTGCACTAGTTGTTATTTGTTCACTGATATAACCTCTTTTATGCTTCTCTTACTATTCTCTAGTTTGTCTAGCAGCGACAAGTAAATATGAGCATCAAATTATAAGGTGCAATCCATCCTGTTAAACTTGTTCCGTTTCTTATATTACTGACTAGCTAATGTGTCTCTTCCTCTACTTCATGAAGTCTCCACCTGTGATTAAAGTATGATAGACCTACTTGGTATACTGTAACAAATATATAACAAATACAAAGTCACCGATCAAATTTGCCTGGAAATATGCATAGGATTCGAACTAGCCAGCTCTAAGTTATTCACTCATTGACCAACTGTTTAGTGTCATCCAACTGTTGATAAAGTTTCAGTTTCTTGTTTTCGTTTTCACCTCCACAGTCCACCTAATTACAAAGTCTCAATCTACTAATAAATCGATAAATATAATACTTCATAATGACTTAAATTCTGGTTGTATAGCTTTTAAGATTGATAAGATCTTCAAGATTCTCAGCAGTACTAAACTTTAGTTCTCTACAACTTTTCAAAACAAACATTCAGTCTTTATTCCATATTAAACAAGTTTATTTGATATAGCATACAAGGAACAGTATTGTTTACTGGATGGTGTTTCCAGCACAATTCATTACTTATAGTCATGGTGTATACCTAGATATGGTTGTTAGCAATAAATTGTGCTCAAAACTTCATCCTAAAATAACATAACCAACGTGAAATTGTACCACAGCGAGCAAATTCTACCTTTGTATATAATGAAATGCGATACGCATCTGTTACATAACGTATGTCAGTCACTATTAAAGAAGTCTCGAGTTCTGTTTTCGGTCCTATCAAATCTTATCAGTCGAGATACATATACACCATTCTCTTCAATCAGGAATACATTTTAGCTGTTGGAAACCTTAAGCACTACTCCTATACATAAGTAATATAAAGTGTTGTTCTTACCATCCTTCTATAAAAACTTAAACAGTTAAGAATACATGTTGCATTTGTTGCACTTCAAAGTAAGTTATATGCAAATACGACTTTTATAGGATCGATGTCGAATGAAAAACAACGTGCATATCACTGCGCTATTACAACTCACTTATATCACATCTTTCGGAAACCCACACATTTAGCTCAAAAGCTATTTAGTTTTTTTAAATATGACTTCTTCATAAAAATAAGAAGTATTTATCAGAACGTGACTTTTTTTAGTCGACTGACATGTGACTATATAAAGCAGTCAAAATCAATAGCTTCCATGCTGAAAAGAATATTTTCCGAACAAAATAAGCTAACTGGCAGATGACATCAACTAAGACCAATTACTTTGGACTGATATTACTATGAACAACAAGAAATTCACGTTGTGTGAAGAGAGATCATCGTGGTTTCGTGACTAAAATAATCATTTTATGGTGTTTGAAGCAATGGATTTTGGATTTGAGTGTCAGAAGGAAAAGTGATACTGACTTGAACACATATGCCTCTAAGTATTTAGTATGAAACTGGAAAAGTGTATCCTTTGTAGTAAATTAACAATGCTCAACAAATAAACAACATCCAAAGCATGAAAACACGGAATATAAAAAATTGATATGGATAAGTGTATCAGACAAGGAAGATGAGCAATATGAGCATTTGATAAATTATTCTTAGGACTTATGTGAGAAGCGAAGTCATCTTTCAGAACTACACTTTGGTTACTAAGATTCGACTGAAATTAACAACGCCTTATGACGATACCGTAAATTTTCAACTGTAGGATAACTAAATGAATCACAGGCTAACTGCTGAAAGGAAAAAATATCAAAGCAATACCTAGTTTGAATAGAAGTAAATACTCGTTCAAAATGTTACTATAAATATTAATTGAAAGAATCTTTGGAATAATTATGTACACATGAATGCTGAATTGAAAAAAACCAACAATTAACCGGATGACTTTTGTTCGGATTAACCTTTTAACCTGTCTGTAGCCAAAAAAAAGTAACGACTTTAAATTCTGTGTTTATCAGTCACATATCGATTCTGTGTAATCACATATATAATATCTGACTGTTCTGAACTGAAAATGGAAAAACTGTTACTGTTCTAGACATCAATTCCTTTTTCAAATCCTGCATTGTTCAGATGGATATTCCCTCAGCCTGATGTTTTGTTGGTAAACATTTCATTGTTATGCCTGACATCCTGATGCTTGCATTACTGAGTTTAACAAACTGATCAAGGATATTCATAACTTGCTATCTCACATAAGTCTAATCCCAGGTTGTAAAACACCTCGATTTGGACATTCGCTTCGGAAGCTAAAAATATTTCCCACCATCCCACATATAATTGCTCAACATGTAAAGCTTTCTAGTGAAACTGATTAGTAAGCACAGAATACATAAGTCATCCAGTCTCTTCTCTTTTAATATGGAATGCAAAACTAACACGGAGTTATTTTATAACATGGGACAACAAAAAGAACTATTATGCTTATTAAACACTTAAGGTTCAAAAACATTATCCTACGTGGCTACAAACAGGTAGCAATGGATATGTAAGAATTGTAATAATGGAACACCTGTTAGACAGTGGTCATTCAGTTTCAATAACAAATCGAAATGAAAATTTCAAAAGTCAGTGCGGATCCGCCTCCTTTAATTGTTGCAGCTTTAGCAGTTCAGATGGTAAAGTTAGAGCTTCGTATTTAAAAGAGACTTATTCAACTATTGCTTCTTTCATGTTTTTACTGTCTGGCATTTTTCAAAGCACTTCTAACTTCTTTTTCCACTCATATTTTCAACTACTTGTTTTTCTATATCTACCGTGGTTACAACTCATTCATTAATATTTTGTCATGTTACTCAAATCTTTATTTAAACTTCACCAACTTTATTTAATTTCTATGATATCTTGAACAATATTCACCAATCTAAGTAACTCTGCATTTTATGTTATGACACTTAAACTTTGCTTGTCACTATGCCTTTTGATTACTTTTCAGTACTCTTAAACATTTTTATTACTCAAGGATTAAAATGAGGGTGACTTTAAAAACCACCGTAGCAAATGATGGGACAGCCCATTACATTCCTTTATTTTATGGAGAAGTACTTTTTGAAGTGAAATACCGGAGCCTGATTGGTCATTTCGACAGTTGTTAGTGTGGCATTTTAAGTCACCCTTAAAATGATCCTTCTATTTTTATATGTGTGTCACCTTGTTGTCATGTCTAAAAAAACACTTTTGCACATGAAGTGAGTTGCACATTAACACAAAAGGCATTGTATATAAGTGCGATTATACGACTGGTACAGTGAATTAATTTACCGAAGAGTCATTTTACTGAACCCCTTGTTTTTTCTTTCATTTTCTCACCAAGTATTTGTTATTAAGTTGAATTTAGGTGTATTAAATCCCGATAACTGATCAGAACTACTGTTCTGGACGAGCCCCTTTTGAAAATTGCATGGAATGAAAACTATCTATGGCACTGTCATTTTGTTATTTTTCTATTCTACTTCAGCCACAAATAATGAAAGCTATGTTAACAATACCATCATAAAATCACTTTGTATCCCTTATTGCCGTAAATATTTGAAGTCCGTATATAATTAAAAATATTCTGCAGACAGCCATCCGTCACTTAATCTCCAAAATCCTCAGAACTCAATTGTTGTCCAATGCTTATTACTGATTTGCTTTGAGATGATGAAAGTGATGACCGATGGGACAAACCAAGTCGAACTAGAGGACAAATACTCAGAAGTGGTATTGAATAAATGTTGCACTATATCACTAATTGACAGAAATGGGAAGATGTAGGCTATAGAATTCTCACCCAGCAGCTCAATGGTAATGTGCTCGCCATGAAATCTAAAGGTATTAGGTTGTATCCTTGACGAGGTCATGGGTGTGCACTACTGAGGAGACGCATATCAGGATGAAATGGCTTCCCAGTGCTCCCAGATTTTCAATGTTTCTTCAACTCAGTGGTTTGAGGAGTTTGCTTTCAATCAGTGAGTCACAGGTATGAAATTCTGTCCACCTACCAAGGTTTGGACAGTCAGGCAGTATCATTAGCCCTTACACAATGTATGGCTCATCGCCTACTGCATGAATTTGCTTAATGTGTCTCAGTGCATGAAACAAATTTCATAAATTCTTGATGAATACCAACTCAAAATCAATAGATGGATTCCCACAAACCTCCAAATTAAGGTGTATGTAATTCCTCGACATATGAAAACCTAATATTCATCATAATTCTCATCAAAATACTTGTAACAATATGCTAGACTTAAGGAAAATTAACAAGAAATCAAGTTTATCAAGTTAATTGCCTTGTTTTTCATAGTAACAAGTTTGTTTCCAGCCAATTTCATGCACGTAGCAACCAGTGTAACAAACTTAATCCTGTAGAATGGTAAATATTATACAAGGAAATAAAATAAAATAATTATTTGAGTTGCTCGTTCAGGTGTCTACACTTTTTTTGGTTGGAAAATTTTACACCGAAATTAGAACTATGAATGTTATACATCAACGTCATAAAAATTCCGATGTCAGTATGTGGAGTACGTACACTAACCGAGAACAACCAAGTTTTTTTCTGTTTGTTCCGTTTATTTTGATAAAATATAAAATTAATTAACTGTAATCATAACTTTTAAGATAAGAATTCCTGTTTAGATAAAATCAGAAGTTAAGGAACTTTAAATACATACTAGATTGAATGACTTTGACTAAAGTGTGTAATATAACAATCAGAGTGAAACTTTATCCGGTATATATGCTGATACGATAAGCCATAAGGCACAATAATTTTGTGAGCGCTTACTATACTTTTAGTCACCCAGGTCTAAATAGGTGGATGAAGTTAAAGTGTGAAAAAATTATGTGACATTCATTTGTTAACAGGTACAATTCAATAACTTCGACAGTTAATTTTCATTAGAAGAGCTCTAAGAATACATTATAAGCTGTTCGTCCATTCTATCGACTAATTAACCTAATGCAGAATGTAAAAACAGAATAATGGGAAGAAAACTCAAGAAACACACGAAAAGTAATTAAAAACATTGAATGTAATTTAAAGGTAGCATTCATCACCGACTGAAGTCAGTCGGGGAACCAGTAAAAATATAGCATCACCGGATAGCTGTTTCATCCTGTATGGGACTCCTCAGCAGTACGCACCCACGACCAGGTTAGGGACCAAAACAAAAACCTTCAGGTTTCGCAGCAGACGCGTTAACCATCTGGCTACTGGGTAGGAGTTCAGTGTGTCGCAGTTTCCAACTTTTGTCAACTCATCATATTTTGCGACTACCACCCAAGGTCTTTAGTTGGCGTCCTCTTCCCTTCCAACTGATTGACCCCACTGGTCCCAGCTTCTCATTAGAACTTGGTGATATCCATCTGGAAGCATGTCACTAATGAACAATATACAGTAGTGTATTTTTGAGATGAATCGTCAATGCGTTCGCCGAAAAACCTGATGGTTCTGAGTTCAATCCCTAGCCGGGTCATGGGTGCGTATTTCTGAGGAGTCCCGTACAGGTAAAAGCAGCTGTCCAGTGTTCCCAGGTTTTTAATCGTTCCTCAACTGATTCCGGTCCGTGATGAATACTACCTCTAAATTAAAAATCCCCATTCATCTCAAAATAGATGTAACTGCCAAATGAAACATAAATCCAGTATCAAGTAACAGTGGAAAATGAGTAACTGATTCTGTTACACACGTGTCATATACATGATACTTTGTTGATTAATGCAACTAACTAGAAAGAAATTCAAACACTAATAATCAGAGTACTGGATACAATTCAGAGCAATTTAGAGAGTTTATTCACATCACTCAACTGTATCAATATATAACCTGCCACTTAAAGTATCCTAGGTAGTGTTATAAAATTCTAACTTTTACTGTAGGTCTGTTTATTCTGCTGGTAACACCGAATGACTTAAAGCAGTCGGTATTAGATGCTGGTTGAATGGAAGCTATCGGCAGGAAGCCGACAAAAAATAGGTCTAGGGCTTTCTGCTAACTGCCCCCATCCAACTAACACCTATCAAAGTTCAACGCGATGTTGAGTCGTCTAGCCTGGTAGCCACATTGCAAAAATGATCGTTAAAACTCAGCCAGCATTCACAGCTAGACAACAAAAAGTTGGCTGCCTTCTAGTGACCAATTAATCCAGTTAATATTAACACTTACTCATAATTCTTACGCTTCTTGCTACTAATCAGTTCAGAAGTTTTGTAGACTTGTGAACCTTTGGTGTGGTCCTCTGCAAGATTCCACTATATTTACAGACACGTTAAGTTGCGGTAAATTTCCCTCTGTTATTACTCCATGTAATTTGAATTATGACTGCAGATCTCTGTGAAATTTTCTACCATATTTCATACAAGTTAATAAATTGTCTAACTTGTAGAGAGGTTCATCAAGAAGAAAACTTTTAAGTCACTGCAATCATCCCTTTTTATTGAAGGTTATAATGTTTAGTCCACCTTGACTCCTTGGATAGGATATGTTGCGTATCCAGTGTGTAAATGTATGAGTTAGCAGACGTACCATACTGGTTATTATTTGTAAACGCCAAAGACAGGATTACCACTTCAAAGATATCAAATCATACCAGCAAAAAAATTACTAGTTTTTGGTTATGATTTTAAAATGGACAAAATTTTGTTGAACATCAGTAACTGGTTTGCCAACATATTTAACAGGAAATGCTAACAAGAGATTGTCAATATACACTAAGTGGAAAAGTGAATCTACCATGTTTCACCAATAATAACAACATCCATCACCAATACACTGACAAGATGCATAACTAATTTCCTCATTGTTTAATTCCTATCAACAACAAGTATTCATTATGGTTTTTCCAAAACTCTTGATTAATAAATAAAAACTAATGATTAAACATCGGGAGAGTTAAAAATCGTTAAAATTTATTTCTATGTTGCGGCTGAGTGTCTTCTAGCTTCCTTAAGCTAAAGTAAACAAGATTTCGTGAGTATCGAGAAAAATTATCACGGATAAGAAATCATCTGCTTTGAGGCAAAGTAGCTTCTCTCAACAATTTACTAACTTGCCAAATGACAATTAAGCTGAAATTAATTGTCATTTAGTTCACGCAGACTTTATTAGTTCGTCTATTGGTTGTTTTTTACGAGATACTTAAAGTCCTAACTTTTTTTGTTAAGGTTCATGAATGCACATTATTTTTTACCTGTGAAATTAATTACAATTCAATAAATAACCTCACTGTTAGGAGATATTAAAAAAGATTTATCAGAACATTAGGTTTGAGTGAAATCTCATCAAAAAATGTTCTTCTAATTACAAATGGTGGCTGGCAGTTGATTCGTCAGCTAAATGTATCTGCCTCCCAGTGGTCGATGTTGTTCCCACTAGGACCGGAACCCAGGACTGATCGCTTCAAACACCGTAATATGGCGTTACCCACCAGGCCACTGAGTCAAGATAGCCACGAGCATAGTTTATGTTGTCACGACGGGATAATACAAGTAACAACATAAAAGATTGTCTCGTTAAGATTAAAACAGACGTCATAATCTACAAAGTTTGATTCTGAAACAATCTTTATCTACACATTTAGGTAGAGAAGTTAAAGTAAATTATTGGGCAACGTCTATATAATCTTGGCGATTTCTACCTAACGTTCACTATGCGACTTTTGACTAACCAGGAATATTTAAGTTACACCAATGAGGCTGCTTTGCCCAAAAACTTATTTAGTTTGATAACAAAAAATGTCAGGTAGCAGAATGTGGCGTTTTATGTCTGATTCTCTTATGTCTGCCATGCGGTTTGAGTGCCTTAGATTCATTGCTTTGTAAATGTCATAAATGTCTTCTAGTAAGGAAAACCCAAACAGGACGAAACAGCAGTTTTCATGACTCTACCATTCTACCTAGTAGCTATATATTTGTAATAGGTTCACCTTAAATTCAAGGGAGACATCATATCCATTAATTCCACACTTATATCTAATTGTTTCCATGGTTTATCAGAATTGTCATAGTATTCAGGTATTGGAATAATCTCCTTTTTGTGATTTATATAAACAATTATCTTTCAGGTTGTCGTTGAAATTCGATATCGTCTTGGTTTACAAAGACGGAAACGTTCATCAACGAAAGGTGATAAAGCTTTATACAATGTATGTCGTCCTACTGGACATCATTTCGGTTGTTGTACACAACCACTGTCTGTGAAGTTTACAGATATTGGTTGGGACAATTGGATTATACATCCGAAAAGTTTTGAACCAAACTACTGTCGTGGATCTTGTAAAAGTAAGTTATTCTAACTGTACAATAAAAATGCTGCCCTTCTTTTAATCACGTTTTTCAAACAAAATATATCGAGAGAAAACGCTGCACTTTTAAATATAGTAGACGTCTACTTGTAGCCTTCATAAATAGTTCAGTAGTGAGCACTAAGTTATATCGTTTTCCGTAATATTTTTCACTGTAAGGTGATACATGCAACACTACTAGAACCCGTCCTTTTAACTTGGTTTGAATGTCCTATGTTGGTAAATTTTCCCAGTTCGACATCACAGATATGCTTCTTTTGTTCAGTAAAGGAAACAAGGCAAGTGATGGCACCTTGAAATGCGAACTTTATTACGGAAGTTTTCCATGAATAGAAAACATTTTCACTTGCATCAAGAACCAAGTGAATCATCAAGTGCAGAATAGTAGTGATCATAAATCTAATTCAGTCAATAAGTATCAGAAAGCCGACATAAACTAATCAAGAAAAGCATATCTGTGATAAATCTCATTTAAACATAAGATGTAAGATGACCAGGCTACAACATTTTTATGGAGTAGGAGGATGCGAATAGCTATTCTAGAGGTTTCCATTCTATCCTTCTCGATACAAGATGAAATAAATCCAAGTTATCTGTATAGAGTATTCAAATAACAAAGTCAGCTCTTCCACTTATAACAAGAAGCCATCGAAGTCAAAGAAACCAGGACCAAATCAATAATCGAATAGGTCTACTACATGTGTTTAACACTTTTAGTCAGTTATCAAATGCATCTATTTTGGTTTCATATAAAACATGCTAAAAGCAACTTCATAGTGATGTCTTTCTATTGAATGTCCAAGTTTATAGAATAATTTTGTCAAAACATATTAACAGTCATGAAATGATGATGCAGACCATCCTCTTGCATTTGCCGAAGCATAAAACACTGTCTAAGGTATCCTGTTATCATGTTTACAATGACGAAGGCGTTATGTAAGGTTTTGCTTCACTAATTTATGTATATCATAAATACATCCATTTTTTCTTGGCGAAGTATAACAGATTTTTAACTGCTCTAAAACTTCAGTAGTTTAAAACAAAAGCTATTCGTCATGTAGATCTGTTTGATTCTTCAGACTTCTTATAATCTCTAAAAAATTTAACCAAACTCTTTCCTAAACCTGCTGTCGTTATGATAGCACTGACCTCCATAATACCAATTAAAAAGTCTACTCAGTTCCCCAGGTTATGGGTCAAAGCGTTACATATTTCCTTTTTCCCACTTTTTAAATCTTATTTTTCACCATCAAAATATTTTTGGCACGGCTGTTATTATTTACTGCCTCTTCTGAATAATATTCTTTACCTAGCTTCCGTCTGCTAAACATATAGCAAATGAAAAATATGCTTTTGCAAAGCAAGAACAACAAATATTATGATAAGGATCGAATTCATTTCACCTCGTCTAAATGTCCAAAATACGCACTAGATTTAAAATTCTATACAGTAAGCTATCAATTACGCAAGTATCTAGCTGACAAGTAATATTGAAATTTATAAATTCATTATATTCTGCTTTTCTCAAATATGATGTTTGTTTAAAACTATTACTGCCCATCATAAGTCATTTGATACATCTCATTAGTAAACTCAACAACAATACATCTTTCAAACCTAAACACCAGTAATATTCATGTGAGTAGAGATTAATAATGAAGATCACGGTCTAGACAACCATTACAGGGAACAAATCAGAAGTCAGACTGTAAAATCGATCAGTAAACAGAAGGCAAAGTATGACGTGACAGAAGTACAGGAATGTGATCATATCTCAAGTTGGTGGGAATTCCTAAGCAAGGGGGAGAACATCAAAGATAGTGTACAAAGTATATTAACTAATGATAGAGTAATGGAAGAGGATATGCTTACAAATATGATAAAGTTATGGATTAAAGTAGATCGAAAATGACAGGAATATGAATATGTTTGAGAATAATATGTAAGACAATAAGATGAAAGGATAAAGTAGCAAATACAGCAGTAGAAAAGAATAAGTTACTAAGGCAATGCAAGGTGAACAGCAAACTTCTTTTGTATACATGTCTGATTTCAGCAGACGGATGGCTATTTCTGCTTTTTTGCATAACGACCGATGACCTTAAGAACTATGGTTGAATCAACGGCATGATCTATATCAAGAATATGCTTCCCAACGTCACTGCTTGGTAGCCTTCAGCCTCTCAGTGACAGGCTTTCCACTACTTGTTTGAAGGTTCTTTTAGTAAGGACCCTCTCCATTCTTCCGACAAACATGCTACTTTGAGTACAGGTGAATAAATAAATACATTTAGAGGTAACATAAGGTCTCACATCTAAATTAGTTTCTGTGATCATGTTCTTCGTAGCATAGACGACTGTTAACTTCGCAACTGGATACGCTGGTGCTATTCATGCATTCAGTCAGTAATTATTTTGTGAACTCAACTCATAACTTTTGAATAGTAGTCTAATGAAAATGTTTTTTCTTGGCACTGTTGTATCATCCAATTTATCATTTTTAGTTTTAAAGTGTTCGTTAATAAAATTTATGGGATACCTATTACCGTATAAAGCTTTTGTGTACTATCCAGTTCCTTTTCAATGAATTCCTTGGAACATAGCCTGGTTGCCTTTAAAAATAAAGTCTTGACTAGACTCGTTTTATGAGCTGTTGTTCAACAGTAATTTAATAGATAAAAATATTTTTCCAACACGGAAAGCAATAATTAGAAAATTTTCATGTTTTCGGTCCAGTGAAATTGAGAATACCTCTTCTAAACTAGTTTTGCAACAAAATCTAGTCTAAATAAATGTAATGAAGTTACTAAACGTGGCGGTCTTGTCACTAACTTACTGACAAGCATCAACCATAATGAAACAACCAGTAGGGTGACATTTATGCAGAAGTTTCAAATTATATTTACTTGAATAGGCTACCAGTAGCTTATGCAAAATATCAATAGATTGTTTTGTTTTACTTGGCTATGACCGCTACAGTCAAAACTAGGTAGTGCAAGATGACTTAGAACATATTTCACCAGTGTCCTTATCAAACCTTTTAGGCACAACAACATTAAGTTTCCATGCAAAGTTCAAAGTCAATTGGTTTGACTAAAGCCGTTGTTTATAAAACCATGAAAAGGGAACAACTTAGAAGTTATTAAGATATTTAGAAGGTTTCACAACCATTCAAACTCAAAAAATAATAAGCGTTTAAAGGCTGAAATAACCAAGTTTCAAAATATATGTGGCTACTTTCTTATAATTGGTAAAAAATTATGTCGAAAACATCATTTAGCCAAGAAGCATTGGTTACTAATCTGTACACTAGCCTTTAATCTCAGATGCCATTTACTAGGTAAGACTATCAACAGTGGAATGTTAGATGATGTATAAGAGACCTGCTTTATCGTATCAATTTGTTTAATTAAACAGCTTGATCGTATAATTACTCTTCAAACAAAGGGAAGTGACTCACACACTGCTATATAAACTCGTATTCATATCCTCTATGAACTGTGATCATTTAATTTTGAGTGAAATAATAATTAGGAGTTGATCATATACAACACTGAGCTTACAGTTTACAAAATAAACTAATCATATTCCTTGAGCTCTATCCTCATATTTTTAATGACATTTGGTAATTTTGAACAGGATGTAATTAAAACAGTACCAAAATCAGCTATATTTTGACTTCTAGTTTTGACGACAAACACTCTTATCATAATATCTCTAGCGAAGAATCGTTATGCATAGTTTAGCTTCGATCATGATGGCCAGTTGAAATGTCAAGAAACCAATGGTTTACAAAGGTCTTTTTATCACAAGAGTTTCAAAATAGAGATTTCATTTTCATTTTTCAACAGTCTATCTGAGAAGCTGGTAACAGACTGTAAGAGCTTTGTATATATTTCATTGTAATATTTTTCGTAAAGTTCCCTCTTATATATTTTAACCTCGAGATTCAAAGTTATGGTTCTTAAGCATACAAATAATATTAATAGATATCCTCTCAATAATGGCTGGATTTATTTGAGTAAAAGTGTTGTTTAGGTTCTGTGCAGTCTCGATTGATGTCGAAGCCGATGAAATTTGACAGACAATCAACAAACTATTCATATCAAAGTTGATCCTAACCCTTTATCCAATGTGTAAGGGAGTTATCGTGGGAACCTATTGTCTAATGACTCACCTTTGACTAAAATGTGAGTATGAGTACTAATCTAGCAAACCACGGCTATCTCAGGTAGTCAAATGATAATCAATATGACGCTTCCCCTGGATTGGGATGAAGAGTTCTTAGTAGACAATTAGCGTGAGTGCGACCAAGTGATAGTAACGCACTACGAATTCACATGGTAGTCAGGTAAAATCCTTGGTGATTGAAGCGAAACAAAAATCTGGTCAGCAATCACGCCTCATAGCTTAGTTGGTGGTACACCGGGGCGGGAACACGGAGCAGTCCAAATTTCCACTTCACCTTCAATCATCACCTAGTCTCATTACCAGTTTACCAAACCACCGCTGCCTCAAATAGTCAAAATAAAGTGTAAGTACTAGATAATTGAATAAGTTTTGTCTCAAAAGAAAGAAATATGGTATCCATTGGTTTTATTTGACACTTGAAGCAACTGCTGATGATGAGGAACATTTCTAGCAGTCAATACAAATCATCGAATTTCTTGGCTGACTGATGATTAACGTCATTTTATCATATCATGTATAATGAGTTGTTACACTTTGATCATGGCTTACAACAGAATTCAAAACGTGCATTTTTTTTTCGATATGTAAAAATGACCAACTGTAATTTATTTAAAATAAACGCTGAAATTCGCTTAAAATAATTTTCTTTGATGTAATTTTACCTGTTTTCAACTTTTAAATCTTTAGTTACGTCAACAAAAAGTTTGCATTATGATGTTATGGACTTATTATTGCGTAGGAATTTTTCTCAGTTTGGCAGTATACAACGTGATGAAGTACAATCATGTTGTCATCCAACGCATTTAACCAGTATGTCTGTGCTCTACTTGGATTCAAATCGGGAATTACAAATGCACACGTTACACAATTTGATTGTTTTAGGATGTGGTTGTAGTTAACAAAGTAATCTTTCAATTATCATCTCCACTTTATGACAGAAATTAAAATTTCTCATTTCATATCCGCATTCAGGAAACTTTTGTGAGTGTCAAGTAATAAACTTTATTATCATCGTCTAACATGCTGATAAGTTTCAATCTTGCTCATTATAACAAATGTGAAATAAGTCAATGTCGATCATGCATCATTCTTACACACATAAGATATCTGACTTGCAGTTATATGTTGTGAATGTCCGCTTTTTTTATTACTACTCCACATCAATAATGGTAATAACAAAAAAAATTCCTCTTTGTGTGTTCAGGTATCCAGTAGATTTTGTTTATCTACATCAATTATTTTAATCTTTGCAAGATTTAAAATTTGTTTACCTTTTTTCTGAAATATAAGATAACAAAGCGATGACTACTATCATAATCATCGTAAACAGTTACATTATTATTGTTGATTTTCATTGAATAATATTATTTTTGACGTATTTTCATTTAATATATCATTTCACTGCAATTCAGTATTATTTTCTCATCATTCTATGAACGAAAGCACAATGTCAATTGTCTACAAAAGTTCGTCTGTTTTAGCGTTCATTATTATTAGTATCCTCATTCGTTTGTCTCATTTTCTCTATTTTCCTGTATGTGTGATATGTGAAGTATCGTTCATCCCTATGTGTATATGTCAATAGATTCATTGTACCAAACCTTTTATCCTTGTTACAAGCTTTAAAAAACAGTGGATAAAAACCTGTTTCGTACAACAGACTTAATTCTAAGTTGAAAGGTTATCTTATTCACGCACGAATATTCTATATGAGTGTTTCATTATACTAGCGACGGATTATATTGAGTTAGTTATTTCACGAGGTCACTATTGGGTTGTTAATAAGACAATAAAAAATAATTTATCTGATTCGTCTACTGCAATAGAGCAACACATTTCGTAAAACCTAATCACACATACTTGTGATTTATATGAAAAATTACAGAGTTAAAGAGTATGAAAATGATTGTTGGTCAAATGAGAAGACTATACTGAAAGTCAAAACAGCGATGGAGATCAATAAAGTAACAACAACAGAAGTTAGTGGTACGACATCCTTCAGTTCAAAACCGAATTCACCTGGGAAGGTTTGATGTGATGACAAATTATTTTTGAACTTTTACAGGTGGTGGAAGACGTCTCACCAAACTTTTAATAACGTTCGCAACTAACCTTATGGTCGGGCTTGAACGACGATTGTAAATACACAACATGGATCATCATTTAAGATAAATATATCATTTAAATATCTTTCACAAAATGGAAATTATTAGATTAAATATTCAGATAACTTTCAAACGTTAATATCTGTTGTCCTTCTTTAGTTCTGATTAGAATGAACAAATTACAAAATAGCATATCTTTAATAAGTGTAGGACAGAACCACCAATACCTTTCCTTTTTAGAAGCATCGATCGTTCGGTGACAAAACGCATCAAAAGACGATCTATTTTCAGAAGCCTACTTGTATGGGGCAATATTTAAAATATTACGGTTTCTGTCAAGTCTAGTGCAAAAGAGGTGTAGTTAGGTGCTTATTTAGCTGAATACATACATCCTATACGTTGAAAAAAGAGGCAGGACAAATGACGGAGATACTGACTGAGATCAACTACCTAAGTTTATAAGTCTGCGTCAAGTGGACAAAATATTGATAAATGTTCTCTACTTTGTCTCCCAGAAGTATTCATAGAGTAAAAATACACTAGTGATGCGAATAGCTTGACAGTCCGGCACAGACTCAACGCTGCAATCAAAAAATATACTATGCAGCTAGGATTTTGGCAACTGAAAATCCGAAGACTACATACCAGTCGAAGCCCTTAAAACTTGTGGAAGATAAAGCCACATCCCAAAGTATTGACCAATTTGAATGCACGTGTGGTCACACATACACAGGGAGGAGTTGTCGGTGATCAAAAATAATTAGCGCCACAGAACATATTCTAAAATGGCTTCACAAACCATTAAGGTCACCTGACGTAAATGCAAACAAACGTCCGATCTCCTAAATGGCATACATATTATTGAAACCGAGCATAAAATGGATGTACAAACGTCATTTAGGCCCATCTATGAGGCCAGTTACGAACGTATTTAAATTTCATTATCCACCAGGAGGACTGAACCACCTGTAAACGTTCAAAAATAATTTGTCATCACATCAAACCTTCCCAGGTGAATTCGGTTTTGAACTGAAGGATGTCGTACCACTAACTTCTGTTGTTGTTACTTTATTGATCTCCATCGCTGTTTTGACTTTCAGTATAGTCTTCTCATTTGACCAACAATCATTTTCATACTCTTTAACTCTGTAATTTTTCATATAAATCACAAGTATGTGTGTGATTAAGTTTTACTTGACTATGGTGGCTTTTTTGAACTTTGGGATACACCATTTTACTACGAAATATATTGCATCACACTTATCCTCATTACGTTGTTTTAATCCTTCATTTAAATCCTCTAATCGTGATATATCTTGTCACACTTCCTTAATATCACTACAAATTATCGCTGTACAAGTTGGCAGGCAAATTAGAAAAAGTACCATGGTGGGTGGCAACGGGTTCTCAAGAATATGAGTATGGGTCATATGACTAGACTGGAAGTACTTGTCACCAACTGCAGGTGTTTACAGAAGAAAGTTGATTACATTCAGCCTTTCATATCTAAAAATGATTATCTCAATAAGAGTGTAATAATACTGCAGGAAACATGCCTAATATTACCTGCATGACTTTGTCTAAATTGTTTCAAGTTATTTGAACAAAATCAATGCTTTTCTAAGAAGTGAGGTGAAGATTTAGCAACATTTATCAATGCAAATTGGTCCACCTCCATTTTGCATGCTGTACCTTCACCAACGGAAAAATTGAGTGCATTTCTATTCATTGTCGTCCCAAGCACTTGAGTGAATACAAACACACATAACAGACACTTAGGTTACAATTGACTGCAGTTTCTCAGATTTAACAACTTTTGCTGACGAATTCACTGCTCCGATTCTGGATAATTCTTTGTCCATAGTATGTGGAGATTTTAATTCATGTGACGCAAATTTCCTTGCATCATTCGGTCTTTATAGGATGGTGAACTTTTCTGCTCGTCTTGACAACCCACTAAATTTAGTATCTGCAAATGACTGAAGCATATATGAAGCCCGTAAACGAGCTCTGGCTACTGCATTGTACACGTTTTGCTCGAAGTGCATGGCAAGTTACAAAAGAAGGCTTTTGGACAGCTTTTTAATAAAGTATATTGCAGATGTTACGCACAGGAAAAATAAACTATGTTTGAGGAGCATAATTAGAGAAATAGACTGTTATATAGTTGTCGATGAAGATTTAGACAACATCATCACTAATATCACAAGTTATCTCAGATTCTGTCTTGACAGATGCTGCCCTGACAAAACAGTCTTTATGAGATTCGACAGACTTTCCTCTTCTCACCTCAAGAGACTCCGGAGAGAAATAGAAAAATTGAATAAAGTGGGAGATTACCCTGATGTTAAAAGATAATATCTTAATTAGGTGTAAAACATAGCGTCTATCACTATGTACAACCAGAATTCTCTACCGTGTAAGAACTCTTCTAATATATGGGAATGATTGAAAGAGCTTACTAGAGGAAAACATATGAAAAAGAAGATTGATCTGATATCTGAAAGTTAAACTAGTCACTTATACGTCAGCAAGCTGATTTCACCCTACAGTGTCCATGGATAAACAGGTAGTTGCTTTTCTGGTTTTAATACAAATGATTTATTTAAATGCCTTGAATCCCTTAATTCATCCTAAAGCTTAGGTCCTGATAGTGTGTTGAGTGCTATATTTAGAAAATATGAGGGTATTTTGTCATCCCCTTACAGATATCTTTGATGCATCGTCTTCCAAAAATGTAATACCAACTGCTTGGAAGGAGATTAAAGTTATACTTGTACCTTAAGTCATCTTCATGATCAGAGGTTAAGTTTCATCTCATCGCTATAACTCTCCCTTTTTTGAAGTCAGTAGAAAAATTATTTCTACTTGTGCCTGAACGTTCATTGAAGGCTTTCAGAGATTCGGAATAATTTGCTTACAAACATAGCAGAAGTACTTTAGTTGCTGTCACTTTTTTGCATCATAATACTGTTTCTAGTCTCAACAAAAGTCTTAAGTATATTCGTTGTGTCGATTTGGATTCCACTTCATCCTTTGACTTAGTTTCTGGACCAATCTTTTTAAATAGTCTTGCCATTGCTCATACTGTGAAAAGTAAATCTAGCGTTAACTATCTTGAATTGAGTTTACTTCTAAACTTTGTTGGTTATCTCATACCTTATTGACTTCCGATGAAATCTTTTGTTTAACGTATTACATAAAGAAACTGAGGCTCTCTGATATAACTCAGCTTTTACTTTTACAATTTATTAATCCCTTCATTTTACCTATTCTTTTCTACTGTTACCTGTTGATCTTGCTTAGTCTACCTAAAAAGACTATGTAATATTGCATAGGCCTTTAAAAGCCATGAGTAGGGTAAGTGGTGTGCATCTGACTAACACTATAGTTGGTAGACATTTAAATTCTAGCAAGCAACTGACAATGAGCATTCACTTCATTCAAAGCTCTCTCCTTATATCTCTTCATGGAGGACAAGAAGAACTTACATTAGACTGTACCTTGCCTAGCATGCATATTATGCCACGAAAAAGTGTTAGAACAGGACTCACTTATCAACTTTGCAACAACAAATAATCTTTTCTAATATTTTAATCACCAATGTAAAATTTTCTCGTAATGAATATTCTTTACATACCTTGAGTTGTTGTATAAACACTATTCGAGTATACGAATATTTTTCTTGTCGCTGAAAATTCTAAACGGTACCAAAGTTATTTGAAATGATGCAATTATTATTCAACCATTCAGACATGTTAGGGTACTGTAATTTCCGAACAGATAGATTTCTGTTGGCACCTACGTATGCCTCTATGGTCATCTAAATGTGTCCATGGTTTTCACTGTGAGGTTATTTTTTGGGAGTAAGGCTGTTTGTGAAATTCAGGAGGGTCGTCTTATCTTACATAGGGCTGCTCAATCGGACGTACCTCTACTTCAGTAGGAGATGATGTTTCCTCTGACCTAGTAGTGGCTCAATAGCTGTTTCAAGAAGCTATTTCATATGACTAAGTGGACAAAGCCTCGGTATATAAAGTGATGGAAGCTGGATCGTAGTTCCCATGTGAGTAGCATTATGTAAATGCATCCAGGTGGATAGCCCGAAATGGAAAAGAAAATCCGAATTCCACTATTGGAAACCATTTCACAAACATTTTCTTAGAGTTTGGCGTAAAATGAAGATGGACATATCTTCTACACGTTAATCTTATTCACAGGAATTTAGTATAGTTTTCTTCATATTCTGACAGCTTTGAAAGTTTAGTAGTATTTGTCATGCATTTTATAGTGGTCCAAAATTCGTCAGCATATAGTTTTCGTGAATCTTTATCATATGAAAACCTAAAACAGTATTTGGACAGTGCATGAACAAAGACATTTGTAGAATAAAATGAACCCACTTAATTTCATGACCTTTCATCAGCTGAAAACAGCTTACCGTTGAAATGAAGTGTTAGCAGTAATAATGACACAACGTACTTTAGATATGTACAAATAAGTAAGATTTGAAATCCAGGATTAACAATAAGGCAGTGAGTAAAGGAAACGCAGGATTAATGATCACAAATCTTAGTCTAATCAATAAGAAATTATTTCTAATGAGAGAGAAAATTCTGGAGCTATGGAAAAAAGAGGACGAAAACCAAACAGGAGTGTAAGAGTTGTTAAGGGGCTAGTAAGTTACGTAATTACATGAAAAACTCGAAACTCATTAAGTGATTAACTGTCAGTATGTGATTAGTAAAGAGATGGTGCTATTAAAATAAGAAGACTGTATACACTCATATGCAAAAAACTATATACAGTATCCAAGGTGAAGAAAGGTTTATCACAATCTTTTTCTGAGTTCGTAAGTCAGGTTGAAAATATTTGATGGCAGGAGCTTCCGTAAACCGTAATAAACATGGCATTCTTTGTTTATTGATTATCTTGAAGGATTGAAAAGCATCTGTTTGATGTCCTGTTTCCATCAGATGCCTGGCGATTGCAGTGGTAAAGACCTTGTTACCTTTCAGCCCAGATTTCTCAAAATGTACTCATAAAATCGAATAGGCACTATTCCTTCGGTCATTCCTGTGTACTTGCTTTCACAAGCATAGATGAATCGATGTACACAGTTGGAGGCGGCGTGAGATGGGTATTTGTTTAATTTCGACTGTGTTATTGAGCATATTCTACTATAAAATGAAGTCATTTTGGCAGCAGAGAAGCTCCTTTTCAGTGAAGTTTTTATTCTTTTGTCTATTCTTTCAGATGTTTCATCACCTTTGAATGCTGGATGAGAGAAAAAAGGCTTCTTTTCAATGGCTGGGTATTCAGGTCTTTCCTAGCTTCATGATGAATTTTTACGGATATTTAACCTCTCTAAGAGTTTTCATAATGATACCGAATTGTTGCACCACTTCTTCCTAACTTATCTACGGACTGTTTAACACAGCCTAACATTTTTCCAGTTTCTTCATGCTATCGCGTAATCTACTAGACCTTAAACAACCTCTTCTTTCTCACTCATGTCTGGTTGTGGTCCTCCCGTTTCCACAGCTCAAGAGGTTTCTAAGTCATTTGATATAAATTGTCATTGATTTTGACTAAGATTCGTGACTATTTAAAAAATATGTTTCTTCTTTATCCCATCCCACTTGTTAAACAAATCCCACCAATCAAGTGCTATCAATCTGAACGAAAAACCAACTGACTAGAAAACTTGCAGATTGAGTAACAAGTTAAAATTACTTCGACAAATAATCATCTTCTAACACTTCAAAATTTATTTCTAAAATATATAATAATAAACTACATACCAGTACGGGTATCTCATACAGTCAATTGTATAACTGAAAAGACATTGCTTAGCACTGATCAAAAACTACCCATCAGGTTTTGTAATATGATCACTGAGCGAAGTGATATCACACTGAGGTGTCAGATGATTGAATTCAGTTGGTAACAAGCTTTGAAACTAAGTTTCATGTTTGTGTGTCTAAAAACAAAAGGAAACGTTTGTTCCATCAGTGATTCAAGACCATAACATAGTACTGATACCACAGACCTAATCACTAAGCTGTTATCATACTTTCAGTTTACTTTTGGTTGCTGCTTGAATTAACTTTATTTACATTGACACCGTTTCTTTTCTTTGTCTAGATCATTCTGGATAAAAAAATTATCTTGGTTGATAGATAGTGTTTAGAGAGAATTTATTTTCTAAACTCTTATTTACATAGAATGAGTGTAAAGCGTTGGATGACTGGGATCAATATAAGGCTACATCTTGAATATATTCTCTTTGCCAAGTCAGTATGAAACTAAATGGTAACCTGCAGGATAATGATATTAGTTTTACAATAGCTGCGTCGGGGCTTATTATTGATTCTGCTTTCAATTAACACGTTCGTATATTTTTTGATTACTCATAAACAAAATCGATCCATGAGTTCTTCGATTCAGATGGCAAGATGATAAATGATTTGTTCACTTTTATTGTAGGTGAAAGCCAAGAAACAGTACTACCGTAAATAGTAAACTGCATTTTCACCATTGAATTGAACTTTTCAGCTGCAATTTCCTTAACATACTATGTTGAAGAACAAACTTATCCACCAGTCAAATAGCTTTATTTCCTCGTTACAGTAAGTAACTTCAGTTATTACTAAAAGGTATAAAGCCACTGACTGTTGGTGAATCTCCACTAACATGTGTGATGTAGTTATATATTTACAAATACGTTTCAGTTACGCCTATTTTCTTTATATGCTAAGTGCACAGCAGATCAGTCAGTTAACTATCCGTCCTCCGCATAAAATTAATTCACTTTGGAACTGCCGATGAAGTTGTTTGATATACAATCGGTAAACACCTTATAGCTCATAATAACAACAAATATAGTCAATATCTGATTTAGAGAATCACACACATGCAAGTGAAGTAATATCAAAGTTCACATTACTATGAATAACTATGAATATTTGGAACTATCTGAATTATATTAATTACGACATAGGTGCTTTATGTAACAGTTTACACGTAACACTTACAAAACATTGACTATTCTTTCGGTCAATATATTTCAAGTGAAATAAGCTCATTTATCCCAGTAAAAGGTATAGTCTTAGCCAGGAAATAACATTTCCAACGACTTTAGTATCATGCTATCCAGTAATATTTATATTTACTAAGTGTCAGATATTTGCATTAAAACTCTTTGAGTTAATATATATGAGTATCATGGAGAAAGAATGCAAGGAAATGAACATATTAAGAATCAGTACAGAAAGAGAATGAAATACATTTGGTCCACGGTAACAATTTCTTTAAACTGTTTTTTTCTACCCCTTCCCCCTCACTCCCTGTGTCACCTGTTGTCCAGTTAAAATAGACGATGAAATGTCCTATGTTATTGGTTGCACGAAATCCAAAGGCGCTATAAAAGGGAGCAAACTGAGGACGGGTTGCTTCGTTCTCATGATGAGCGACGATACCATCCAGCGTTTTTGTCTCGCTGCGTTTCCGTCCTTAGTCTTTGAAGGTCGCCCTGAAGGAGTATGAGAGACAAACGCGTACACACTACGTTGTGCGAGATTCACATTTGCAAGGTGACCGAAGAGCTTAAGTTAAGTTTGTCTGCTATAAGGCTAGTGAACGCCGGCCAATAGTTGGTGTAGTGAGAAGGTCAGTTCTGTTTGTTTTCATTATTTACTTCATAGAATATCTCTGAAATGTTCTTGTCCGGCGTTCGTGCTCGTGAAGTTCTTAGGAGGTTTCTGGACATTTACTTGGTGGCTGTTAACTTACAATCATCCCTGCAATTCACTTCCAGGAGAACTGGATCTGATAAAATGCGAAACATCATGTTTTTCTTTCAGCAAGTACTGTATGGTTTTCATCACCACTAACTGATGAAATGTCCGCATCATTTATTATCTTCTGATGGGTAATAGAGGTTACTACCAACCTCATCCATTAATGTTACATGATCCACATTATCAGGCTTCCCAAACTCACCTTCATCTTCACTATATCCATCATTTAAGTATTTATCCAGAGTCTATTTAAAAATCTGAGGCCTTATGAGTGTAGATTCTGGTTAGACGTCACTGAGCATTTAACTGAATTTCTCAATGATTCTCAGTGTCGCTGTTTCCATTCTTTTTTCATAGCGTTTAATAAATGCCTGAAATTCTTCATTAAAAGTATTGTAATCTTTTTACCCGCCGTCACTTGTTATATCCTTGTACTGCCTACTTGATATAACCTGAATTATATATATATGGACGCTTGAACAATAACCTTCAGATTCCACCCATTAATGAAGGCTCAGTAATGGAAAAGACGGTTAGATGACGAAATGTATATTGCAGCGTCATAAGTATGAGTAGAATAAAACGGTTTATACATATTTATAATGACTCTAGCTACTTCAAGGCCTTTCCAGATTTGAATATCCTATTGATTTTTGTCTCTTCAACCAATCTGATATTCACACATTAGTTCATGTGCTTTCTCTCGAAAATTCGGTGCAAAACGATTGTAAAAAGCTTCAAGGCTTTTTATGAAGATTATGGCAACCTTATTCTACACCATAATATATCTAGAGGAATTTTGAAAGAAGTACCCATGACAATTCTGAAAGCAGTATACAGTTTCCCCAACATCCAATGTCTTGCGACTAAAGACTCAGTTTTTCACAACAGAGTAATCACATTTATTATTATAATTACTATTCTCATTGCTATTGTTACTATTATTGTAACTGCAACATTCCGTGTTACACACAGATGACTGTCTAATCTATACGCTTATTAGACTGAAAATAGCAATCTAATCAAAGTAGAATTCCATAAATTCATGGCAAAGATAATGTATTGAATACCATTATCATCAAATAGTTTAAATAACTACCGTTGGTTGGAAACATCAAAACAAACAAAACGGCATAAAAACGGAAGCTACATTTGATGAATAAACTGACAATGATACGATATAACATAAAATACGCTGTGTAAATTAGGCTCTAGATGAAGTGATCATAAGTTCAAAAGTAAACAATAATTGGCTTTTCTTATATCTCAGAAGAAATTGAAGTAAATTCAATTAATGTTGATAGAAACTGATAAATTCATGAAAATAACAACCGGTATACACACAAGAAATGAACAAATATGAAAAGAGGAAACAGAAGCCACGAAGAACAAAAGAAATATCATAGATAACAGGTGATAAGTCAATTATGCAGTATGAAGTTCGAGTAATAATTATAACTCCTACTTGAAACGATTATTTACATTTGGTTGGATCATCTGATTCATGATTATTTGACAAGAAATCTAGAAGCCGTGAAGCAACTAGATAGTCAGCGCTTGTCAATGAATCAGAGCCTAAACCACATTCTATTTTTCCAGGACTCTGAAATGTATCTTTCTGTGAAAAATGGGAAAAGTAATTTTGTTGTTGTTGATAATGACGATGATCACTTTGAATAAGTGATAAGCTTGATGATGCTGCTGAACTGTTTAAACGTGTGCTTTCATCCATAATCTCTTGAAGAAAGCTGCTTATTTCGCAGCATTTGGCTAAAGCTGCCAATGATGAGAATCTTACAACCAAGAAGTAGATTGCACGAATTAAGTAGATTCCTGGAAAGAGAAAAACAAAAATAACTTGGTATTCTTAGTAAATAAACTAGACAAACAGAAGTAACAAGGATTATTTAAAATGCAAATCTGTAAGATATACGGACAAAACCAACGGAGAACCTCGCACAAAAGTGCATCGGCTTAAGTTGTCACAAAAAGGTTTATTTCTTATAGACTGGAATGATTAGTGTAGACCATTTTAAAGGGATCACCTCTGATTCTCATACGTTAGTTAGTACCTCCGTTACTTAAATCAGTAATTTAACAACGTCATCCATAGGAAACATCGGGTGGCAAACTATCAAGTCCTTCTGCTTCATATAGTTTCAGTTTAGAAACAACCTTCCCAACTTCAATTATAGTTTTTTTTAAAAACAATATCAACGTCCTATTCAGGTTCAGGCTGGATGTTAAGTAACTGAAGCGTTGCTGTGGGCAAGTTGAACTGGGATTCAGTGTTCCGTCAAAGGTTTTAGCCGCCCGTTCTGAAAGGTCACCAGCGTCCCACTCTTTCCGGTGATGGTTTCACTGACCACCGTTTGCTTTTTTGCCGGTGTACTCAAATGGTCTAAATAGTTGCCAGGTGTTACCTGACTCTGTTGAATTCTCCGTCTCTCTCTCTCTCTCTTTTCCTTTCGCCACCCATTAATTATATCGGTCGTTGCGAAATCTCTTGGTCGGTTTACGTCTAAGTTGCTTTCGCTCTTCATCGTGGTCAGAACCGCTTGAAATGAGTCATTCAGTACTGCTGTCACATCCAGATAACTGCTTAAACATACGCCCCCCCCCGTAGATATGTACTTGGTGTCCCAATCGTGAACGCGTAGGCTTCACTGCCGCCTGTTTTCTGCAACCACTAGAGCGCAGATATATACGTGCACGTACTACCACGTGATCGTAGTCCAAACTGGTATTTCAGAAAAAGCAACAATCCTCCAATGATCCTCCCAAACCATGGCTTATAACAATATGGTCCATCTATCCATCATTGGTTTGATACCGGTGAACTCCATATGAGAGTGTTTCTTCTTGTGCGTAAAGTTAGTGGTGGCCAGAAACAAGTGATTATCGGGGTAAAATTGAGACAGACGACCACCGTTGTCGATCCATCGGCATGGAATTCCGCAAAATACCCCTAAGATGTCATTCCAATTGGCTCAGCTTCCTTACTTGAGCGTAAAAGTCACCTGCCACTATGACTATGCCTGAACGTTTTGCCTTCTGTAGCAAGGTTGACAGCTTCTCATAGAATTCATCCTTTGCATCCACTGAACTACAGTTAGAGGGTGCGATGGTGTAGATTGCGAACAGGCATCACCTAGTCTCATAATCCTTCCCAGTTCTTACACATCCATTCGGTCAAATAACATATAGACGGCTGTTGACTGGTATCCAGTTAGGAAGCACACTTGAGCACAACGTGTAAGGCTAATTCTTCCTAAGGTACCTGAAAGCGAGAAAGATTTCTGTGACCACAGAGCCCATCAAACATCTGACTTGGGCCTGTCACACATAGCCTTTTTTAAATTGTTGTTTTGAGGTTTGGTTATTCGAACGCTGGCTAGAGAGGACTTTACTTACACCACAGGCACCGGATAACCGTGCGGCAGGTGGATTGTGTTGTTTTCACGGCTGACCTTTTCCAATCCCCCCTTCCTATTCGGAAGACAGCATCAACATGACACTGCTGGTCATCCATTATTCAACTGACTTTTCTGGCATGGTACAACCTCGAAGGAACAAGTTTTTCAGCCAGAGTAGCTCGTTGGATCATGAAATATCCAAGAGCGATGACCATGTCAAGGTAGCAGCTATTCGTCAAGAAGTTAATAAGTGACTGCAACCTAAGAACACGTGGATTTCAATATAATATAAGGTTCCATTCAGTAGAAACTTCAATGAAGCAGAAACGAATCCTAATTATGCACTAAGTGCATACGTAAGCTATATATTAAGATATCTTCATCTCATGTGACTATGAAATCAAGATGTGAAACTGATAAAAAGTACCTGCATATGTTAGCAGCACCAGTAGGGCTTCCTCTATGAGTCAAGTGAGAAACTCCCTAGAACTTTCAACAGGCATTCACTCAAGCACGATGAAACACCACATAGTAATAACAAATATACGTTTTGCAAGACGTGGTTATTGTGCTTCAGTGGATAACGCTTTGGCGTTTGTAGAGACCGGTCCCGGGTCCGAGTCTCACTGAGAACAACACACACTGGGTGCAGGTACAACCAGCTGATGAGTCCCAAATAGGACGAAACATACGTCCTGGATTCCACTGCCAACCACACCTAAGTCAGTCATAACAATAAATATTCACGCAATATTGAGGCATCCGTATAAGAGTCCATATGCCGACAGAAGTCGATCAATTCAACTCAGTATGACAAATAATAAATAATAATTACATATAGAGTTTATAAAATATGAGACGGTGATGAACATTTCCAGACTAAATTGTTGAATGACATTTTTTTAGGAACTGATAGAATTTTAAGATGTCAACCGCTAGATTATACTTAAATGGTTCACACCATTAACAAGCCTGCCATTATTAAACCTGAACTTTCAAGTTCAGGTAAAATTAAAGTATATAGGCAAACTCGTAACCACTAAGAAGTCCTAAATACGAAGGAAACAATAACTTGAATGTATCGCTGAGTTTAGACATTTTAGAAAAATGTCTGTTCATGGTAGAAAATCCCCCTTGAAATAAACAAATTACACTAAAGAGTAAAATTGCATAGTATTACTTACCTTCCATCGGATATTTAAACGATTCTTCACCAGTACTAGCCACATGCAGTAAAAAGCTTCCCAATTCCAAAGCATCATTTTCGCTGAGCTTTTGTATTGAAGATGAAAAGAAGGAAACTTAAAAGAAAACCAATCCACATAACTGGGAACCAACTTAATTAATTAACTGAATAACTAACTGAAACTACAAAGGATATATTCATAATAATAGTCGGCTTTGTTTGATATCCTTCCAAATAACACAGTATGGTAAGAACAACAAGATAGTTAAGATATTAAAACGCATTGAAGATTGGAAGCAGATCAGTTAGTAGATGAAACGCAATGAATTACTTGAGATTTATAGCAAAATAACCTAGGGATGAATCTGTTACTGATATGGCTTTTCAGTACTATCATCCAAATTCGTCGAACAACAATTTATACTTTCGGAACATTTATATGTTCATTGGTATTCCGATTAGAATACCAAAACTTACTACAAGGCATAAATTAAAAGCCAATGACTACTTTGAAGCTATCTTTCCTAACCCCAGTTTAACAATACGGTTTTTGTACACACTCTAATGAATAATGACCTGTGAAGGTATTCAAGTATGAAGTGAAAGAAAGTACCCAATAGGAATACTTCAGGATGAGTTACTCAACATTACACTTCAGACAGATAGACGGACAATATCAGAATATTGCCTGTCTGTTGCACCTCAACTAGAATACAAAAGGAATACCAGTTAGATACTGCAAATGCAAGGAAAGACAACGCATTAAGAAATCCTAAGGTTTTCATTTTGTTCTTGTAAATTAATCCTTTCATATTTTGTTGAGGATTTCTAAAGTAAGGCAAGAGAGCCACCCAGCATATCTTTGGTTCACTGACTACTCGAAACTATGGGAGTGTGAAATTCATTATAAAGACTAAGATTCACCAGTTACCGGATGTTGTTCACCTCACCTTTTATCATAGTTACTCTGCGTTGCACAGTTATTAACATCAATGGCTGTTCTGTTTCATTCAATAAGCAAACAATGACATTCAAAGTTGTCAGAGCTACTTTGCATGAGACCATTTCAGCTGGAAATTTGATCAAGATTAACGCTCATTAGCAAATCATTTCGACATATTAACAATGATCATACGAATTCGTTAATTGAAACAGGTTATCCACAAAATCTGATTAAAAAGTCATACGAATAGATTGGGGAAAAGACCTGAAGTAGCAACCGTTCGAAAGAAACCACTATTCATAAAGCTACAATTTAATGTAGATATAGTTATTGAGATCATATTCCACAGACCGTCGAGAATCATTTAAAAAAACTCTTTAGGCATCTAGTCGACGATTCGCTTCGTGTCAAACAACAGATAAGTTACATAGTTTCGCCAATTCTATGTGTTTTTACCAGTTTAGCTGCTCCTGTGGAAACAGTTACATCGAGCAACTTAACAAACGTATTATAGAACCTCGCCTGGTTAACTAGTTCACTAGTTACTAGCCACCTCTAGGCCCGAGTAAAGAGGGAAGGTTGAGGATACGGCTAGCAACCCCACCCGGAAAACCAATCCAATCGCTACAAAAACTTCAAAGCACAGACAAAATATCAATAATAAAAAGAACCTTATTCCTCCCAGGAATCGGGGAGATGAAATGACACCGGTTGCTGAAAGCCTTCAGAAAGCCAGTCAGCCGATGTGTCTTCTCCCCCTCAATGAAAGCGAAAGAAGACATGAGGATATGGAATGTCCGCACCATGTATGAAACTAGCAAGGCTATTCAGATTCCAAAGCAGATGGGGTATAGCGTAGAAGTGCTAGAAATATGAGAGGAATTGCAGATGGAATGGATGTGGAATCTCCAAACTGTCAACTGGAGAAGAGTCAATAATCTACTCCAATATTGCCACCCAGACGACAACCACCAGCATAGCACACTGACTTTTCGAGTGGCCATCATGATGTCCACAACAACACTGGAGGCTCTCTCTCATCCAGCGGGAGCCAGTCTCCTCCTACAGGATCATCACAGCAAGATTCAACTCAAAAGGAAGGAAAGTCACAATCATTCAATGCTACGCGCCAACAAATAATCCAGACCAGGAGAAGAAGAAAGAATTCTACATACAACTGCAATCGGTACTGGATAACACCCAACTCCAGTTGGTGACATCAAAATTCATTCTAATGAGTGGGGTGACATAAATGCCAAACTGGGAGCAGACAACACAGGAAGAGAACCAATCATGGGTCGGAAGCACTCGGTGAAATGAATGACAACGGAGAACTGTTTGCAGACTTCTGTGCATTCAACGATTTGGTGATTCGAGGCAGTTTGTACAAACACAAGGATATTCACAAGGCAGTGACATGGATTTCACCAGACATCAGATGGACACACTACACCAAAAATCAGGTCGACTTCATCTCAATGTGAAGAAAGTGGAGACGCAGCCTACTCGACACAAGATCAGATCAAGAAGGGAAGCACATGTAGGTTCACACCATCAAAGTATCTAGTGCGAGGAACCTACCTTCAAAATCAACTTGATCAAGCACTCAAAGAAATTGGTGATAGACCACAGTTGAAGTTCAATACCAAGAACACAAACTGAACTGGTAGACGAAACTACAGAACATCTTCACATCAGCCAGCCATCACTACAAAATGGGTGATACTGAGCAGCACACCTGAAGAAACCAGTGTGGAAGAACACTGGAACTCTTTGATACAATGTGAAAGGAACCTGCTTAACCGTTTTAGGACGGAGAAATAACAGGACATGGAATGGATCTCGACGGACACATGGAAGCTGATAGAGGAGGGAAAGGAAGTGGTGAAGCAGAAGATAAACCAGTGCGGTGCAGGGATGAACAACGAGAAGGGAACAGACACTTATAAAACACTACACGGACAAAGAAGTGAAGAAGAGTGCGCACAAAGACAAGACACACTGGCAAGTGAAGCAGAACAGTCTGCAGGTAGGAGAGACCTGACAACATTGTATCAAATAACCGGGTTACTATCTGGGAGAAGATCAACACACATGAAACCAATAAAAGATGGTGAAGGAAATCTAATTACCAAAGAGGAGAAACAAAGGAAGCAATGGGCTGGCCATCTCAAAAACTCTTGAATCGACCATCACCTGCACAGAAAATCACCTGCAGTCACAGGACTACCAGTGAAAACAAGCCCTCCGACGAACGTCAAAGTCCTGAACGCCATAAAACTGCTGAAATGCGAGAAAGCAACAGGACCAGATGGAATTCCACCAGAAGCACTGAAAACAGACGCAGAGACAACAGCCGACATACTCACACCACTACTGAAGAAGGTTTGGAAGGAAGGGAAGGTACCTGCAGATTGGAAGAAGGGATACCTTGTCAAACTCCCAAACAAGAGAGACCTAGGCCTTTGCGAGAACTGGCGCAGAATCATAATCCACGCCTGTCCACCCCAACCAAAATATAAGGCCACATCATCCTGGAGAGACTAAAGGAGGCACTGGATCCAAAATTATGACCTGAACAAGCTGACTGGCTGACTTCAGGAAGAACAAATCATGTTGCAGATCAAATTGAAACGCTACGTTATGCATCATCATAAAACAAAGGGTAGAATGGCAGTCAACTCAACTCTACCTCAACTTCATCGACTTTGAAGAGGCCTTCGACAGTGTCGACCGAGAAGTTATTTGGCAGGCAGCTGCTTCAACAATACTGTCTCAGTGTCACAAATCTTTATCAACCTCATTCAACAGCTATATGAAAAAGCCACATGCCAAGTGATCCACAATGAAAAGCTTAGCTCAGTGATGCTTTTGAAGTGAAGACGGGAGTGAAACAACACTGTCACCTACTATCACCCATGACATTCTTGACTGTGGTCGACTGGACTGGATCATGCAGCAAACAGTGAGGAACGAGAAGAGGGGGATAAGCTGGTTGGACGGGGGAAAGGATCCTAGAAGATTTGGATTTCACCAACAACTTGTGCCTAATATCTTGTAGCACAAAGTCGCAGATCTACGGGTGGAAACCAACAGGTTGACAGAAGAGGCAGCGAAAACGGGACTTCAAGTGAATGTAAAGAAGACAGAGGTGATGAAGATACCCGATCAACGCCATCACCACCACCACCAACAACAACAACAACAAGCTTCGATCACCATCAACGGCAGAAACTTAAAGGAAGTAGCCTCTTTCACCTATCTAAGCAGGCAGCATCGTTTCAACTACAGGCGGCACAGACGAGGACGTCAAAGCCATCCACGATCGAAAAAGCAAGACAGGCGTTCATTAACCTGAAACCAGTATGGAGATCTTCTATACTCAGCATAAAGTGTGAACAAGATCCGGATTTTCAACACCAATGTCAAGTCAGTGCTTCCATATGATTCAGAAAGTTGGCGCGCTTTGAAAGGCATTCCCAACGAACTGCAGACATTCATCAACGACTGCCTACGCTCACCTGATACTGAAGATCAGATGGTCAGAAAGAATAAGCAACAAGGAATTCTGGCAAGGAAACAACCAAGAACCTATCGCCCAACAAATATGTAGAAGGAAGTGGAGATGGATTGAACATACACTGAGAAGGCCCACTGGGGACATCACGCGCCACGCAATGAAGTGGAATCCAAAGGGGAAACAACGAGTTAGGAGGAGATAATGTAAGGAAGAAATGAAAGATTGTGGGCAGTCGTGGCGCGGAGAAGAGAGTGCAATGGAGGTGTGCTACTGAAGCCCTATGTTCTACTAGGAACCCAAGGGAAAAAATAAATAAAATAATATCTTCGTGGCTGGGAAAAGGATAGGTTTAATCTATAAGAAGCTTTATTTTGTCGCATCCGTTAGATAGTGATCACAGAGTGATTAAGATGAAAGCGTTCAAAGTCATTTACCGCATACCACCGAACCTTTCCGATGGAGTTCAAATTCGCCTTTTACACATAGCTGAAGCTATAGGAATTCTAATAAACAATCCAAATCTCTGTATTCAGAAGGAATTTGTACAGTCGTTATCCCTACCTTGGCCAGGGAAAACCTAATGAATCACCGTACTTATGGATTTTAAGATGTACTTCTCTTTTATTTTTCTCTTTTGTCACTCTTTTCGCACCACTACTATATTCATATTCAAATTCTATTTATTTGCCGCCTTCATCCTCCAGTATCACGCAGCCTTATTGTCCTTTTCAAATCTTTGACCTACCTTGTCTGTCTATCTATATGAACACCAGTTTACATTGTCGTGCCATTCTAAACATTCGTATTAACCTTTATATAATCCGTATCCTTGTTGTCGTTATTTCACAAATTACCTTGAATGATTGAAATTTTATAAATATGCTGAAAGTTATGTATATTACAGTGAAACCTGATGAGACCTAATTTAAAACAATATTGTTCGCTTATATGTCTTGTTATACAAATAAGATTGAATGGATGAAAAATCATCATTCATTTACATCATCTTTGTGGAGAAACTGATGCATCAAAAAGCTCCTCTGAAGGTGTCAGGAGCTTAACTCATAAACATGTAATTTTAATACTGAATACAGACGAATAATCCAAACACATAATACAAAAAACAAAACATTGGAAATTTTACAGGATTATGAAACTCTTATCAGAAATCTCTCTATTTCAAAGAGAGTTAGTACCACAGAACATCTTTATCTCAGTAGTCATATACCATCTTAAACACCAAAAAATACATCTGAATTCAAAGTGAAAGTAACTATAACTGTCACAGAATATGATGAAAGGCATTTCATATTTATGCAATGAAAATAAATTATTATGATAGCTTGACCCTACGGTCATAAAATCAGCCGGACGTTGAGACAATGAAAATGTAAGAGAACACTTGAAGGATTTACTCCACGTAAGCTTTGTGTCTACAACCTACGATCTACTCGCTTAACTGTAGATGATGCTAAGACTTAAGAACGCGCCAGAAAATTAATGAAATAAGCAACAATTTATGCACAAGTTAATCCTGAAAAATCTGGAGAGCTTATATTCACCAAAAAAAACAATAGAAAGATCTAGTCAGTGAAACCCTAATTACATACATTTAATTTAGTGAAATGAGATAATGGACCACTGGAAAACATTCACAGATTGAAATATGAGTCGACTAGATCAGGCTACTCTCATTTAAATAAACAGAACATGAAGATGTTAGCGTCAGAATACATTGGATGCTTTTAAAAAATGATGAACCATTTAAGTTGTTAAATTGTACAGCATCACATAGTGTAACATGAATGATAACATGATTTCCATTGGTAATTATGCTGATTATACACAGTGCAGTAACTGAAACAAGTACTAAAGTGGACAAACAAGTAATAGTGTAGGACCTTGCAGAAACAAACAGACATGAATTGAAGTTGCAGAATTACAAAGAAAAAGAATAAAAATAACAAGTATAAAGGGGGAATTCAAAAAAGAGTAGTAAAAAAGATGTGCTTCATTACACAAAGACACGAATGGATTAAGTTCGACTTACTTAACTCAGTAAGCGATACACCATCCGGTTTAAGGCTCTGATTAGTAATATTTAGGAATCAGTAAACTATATCACAGACGCAAAATGTGACATCATAATAGAAGAGGGATATAAAACTCTTTAGGAACTAAAAAAAATACCTACCGTAGGATATAGGGAAACATTATGCGCTAATGCTAAACCAACTAACTTATGTTCTGGTAATAAAGTTGGTGCAACGGTTGACGCCCTTGTTCCTTTTGCTCGGGATGAATAATTTTCAATATCATGATTTAGTAGAGTTAAGCTGGTTTGTATGATAGTGTTCAGATCTAGTCTTATATCACAATCATTCATAATACCCCAATTGGACGACAAGCCAAGACAATTACACAGCTAAAACAAACAAGAATCAAAGATAAAAAACCCATTACTGTAACAAAAATTATTAGTAAAACAAGACACTCAACAATGAGATTAAACAGTGGTAATAGAATTATAGTCTCAGGTGTCCCAGGCTCCATAAATCAACTTGGTTACTCCGTAGAAATAAGAAAATCACATAGAACATGAAGCATTTCGATTGACTGCATGAAGATTTTCACATAATTAAACGTGCAAACCTCAAAAAAATAAACTGCAATTAAAAACTTTCAGAACTCCAGGATATATATATATATATATATATATATATATATATTTACGGTTCACACCAAAAGTTGAAGACTGCAGGAACTGATACCATGGTTTAGTCTGACCACCCCTAATTCTCTTCCAGCCTCAACCGACTTCAGCTAACATTGTGCGGCGAGGTAGATGATGACCAGGCATGTATAACACATGTCGCAGCCAAACACCTCAGTCAATGAAGGTTCATAACCACAAACACATCCACTGAATCTCCTCGTCTCCCTAAAACCCTGTGTCTCACCTCCACATTACTGATATGCTGACATTATGTCGCATGACCTATGCTACGAAGGCCATGCTAATCGAATACTCGAAGCCTTTTCATATCCTCCACCTTCAATAGTAACGCTTCACAGCCACACAGTTGGCAATAGGATATCACAGAGGCACTATATGTGGCGTAGGCTGGTAGAAAATCAGTCCAGACTTTTTTATTCATGCAGAGATTTCTTGAGTCACTGACCCACCAGGGCTGGTCACATTTTCCAGGTAAGTGAGGTGGTCAACCCAACCACTCCAGCGAAAAACCAATCCTGAAGCAACGAGTCGCAATTGTATAGCGAAAGATGCATCCCAAACATTCTGAAATCGCATCTTATCAGCGTCATCGAGCAACACGACTATGTCATCTGAGTACTCTAGATCTGCTAAAGATTTTCCTGTAAAGTCAGACGACAACAGGGAGACCTCTATATACACTTTTTTGATAAAGTTGAATAAGAATGGGGAGAGTGAACATCCTTGAAGAACACCACTTGACGTACTCACCTGTTAACTTCCTCTAAGCTCTAACATGCTCATGGACGTTCGAGTATGTGGCCTTCAACAGGGCGGTGTACTTATCCTGCCTTCCTTACATTAAGACATACTGCTGTAAGATGTCTAAGTCAAGAAATACAACTAATGTCGGTTGGTGTGTCTGTGTTCTAGAACCTGCTGGAGAGTGAATATCGTTGATACACTCACGCTTAGGTCTAAAAATTGACTTGTTTTCTCGCGTTTGCCGTTCCCGAGCTCCACTTGGACGTCTGATAATTATAGAACCTAAACATCAAACTGATTCCAGTGCGGTTATCCTAAGTGGATTTGTCCCCTTTCTCGCAGACCGGGATAATCAGTGATTGGAAGCAGTTACAGAGTATCATATCTGATTCCCATACGTTAGATGACACATCAGCTAACCTTACGTTTAATCCTCTGCCACCGTTCCTGAATACCTTTGGTATTGGTTCATCTGGTCCCGTCTTTCTTCCTCGCGTCAGTGGGTAGAATGATTTTAGTTACACAACCCGTTGTTTGAAAGTTGGCTGTCTAATCGAATGGATCAAGTTCTCAGTTTGGTCCGCTGTACATAATATTAACTAAATTTTCGAGAAGATTCCAGTTTGTTTTCTAGAGATCGAAACGAATTGCATCGCGTATTTATCAGACTGAAAAAGGAATTTTTCTGTGTGATCGATTATTCCTGCTAGTAAAATTCTCTGACTGTTGATATGGGAAACCTTAGATTTGTTTGAATTATTCAAATTACCCTTTTAGAAAACTCCTTGCTTTCATGATGAATTTTGTGTAATTCTCTCTCTCTCTCTGACTTCTAATTACCAACATCTTTTCAAAAATCTTTGGTGTACCTTTGAAATACCTACCGTCAGTTTCATAAGCAGAAAGAAAGTATTACAGAGTTGCTTTCAAACTTTGAATGTATTCATGTATTATTGATTTATCACTCAATTTTTTAATTTCTGAAGAAAACCATAATCCTACTGTATAAAGATGAAATAATTTTGGTTCTAATCTACGATTTTTTTCACTCAAACTTCATTTACTGTTTAAGACCTGTTTTTACATCAACGGACAATCTTTCTACCTATTAATCATTAAGGTATGTAAATTAATAATAAATCAGTTAAAGTGAAGCATACATGAAGTTATGACAAGTGATAGCCCAAAGTGAAGTACGATGTCTTGAAATCAGTGTCCGGTGTATAATTTTTTCAATTACAACTCGCGTAAATATATGATGAATACTGTAACTTGTATTACTTGTCTATATTCCTGAATAATCATTCGACTACAGATTCTGTCGTTTCTTTGCCTCTTACTACGATGCAGTTTCAATGCTTATGTTTCATTGTCACTCCTGATGGAATTAAGCGGCAGGATATCTCATAGCCGATGCATTTCTACATCCTGATTCACAAGGATCTTAGTGATTATATAAGGCTTCTATGTCATATTTGCTTGGTTGACAAATTTAACAGATGTATAAAAAGGTGGTAAGTTTGTTAAAAAGATTTATCACCGTAAAAAACGCTACACGCTTAACATGTGAAGAAGAGAAAGACAACCGCGTGCAGTTCTTGGTTATGCTCCTGATTTGTACGAAAGATGGTTCAATAAAATTGTCGATATCTAGGAAACGTACTTGGAAAAATCAGTATTTAAGTTTTCATAGCTTTTGTTTAACTCAATACATGCGAGGTTTGATAAAGTGCATATTTAAAAGGATTCAGCGAATCTATCTGGAAGGCAATGGATGATGACATCGAAATACTGAGTGGAAAATGGATCTCTATTGGGACCGTTGCAAAAACCAGCCAGCCAGTCTGTATTCTGTTCGGAAGAAATGGGTTTATATCGCGTTACTATACAGAGGGGAATCTAACATCGTGATTATAAAACAAAGACTAAGGTCAGCCATTAGCAAAACATGGTATGTAGCTAGGCTTATCGTAGTTGAGATCGAATACATGTTGCAACACACCTCAACATTGTAAACGATCGCGTCACATCCCACTGCGTTTACTAATTTACACACATGTGTGTGTATAGACACATACGTAGGAAGAACTAATCAAGATATGCCCATGTGACCATGTAACATGTAACCAAGTGGCTAAAAAGGCAGCTGGATTTACAAGCATAGATAAGCATAGGTTGCAGGCAACCATCGTCATCCATTGCAACACATTATATATTCTTGAGATTGAGAAGTTATAAATTGCAATTTATTTTCATTTCAGAGGTTTTGCATATTATAGATCAAGGTCACAGAATTGATTTTAAGACAGCCTTTACAATTCTGTAAAGAAATTGTCAGAGGCTTGTACTTAGGTTTGTTGAAGCGCAAGCCATAGACAAATTTAAGCCCCATTGTGTGTTCAACACCACTTTGTCCTTGTGCTTTAAACCTACTCTGGTAATGCTTATCTTATCGCAATACAGAAACTATCTTTAAATCTAATCGCCGTACCTTCGTTATCTTCCTTATTATGAAGTTTCTTTATGTCATTTGTCCATCTCCCACTTTCAGTTTTCATATAAAATGCCCTAAAAAGTTAATGTGTGATCAGACTGTTGGAAATGTGTAAATATATCAAATTTCTCAGATAATCTACATCTAATTACGTTATCCAAATTCATAAAAGGGATTAATTGTTTCAAATAATATATCGGTCCGGAACTTTTCATTGGGTTAGTGTTTTGCTTCTGATCAATAGTAGAATGATTGAGGTGTTTGCAGTTAATAGTGAAGACGATAAAAAAATATTTTGAACTTGTACAGTGGTTTTCTACTTTATATATCCATTGAAATAATTATCAGCTTAATTTCGTTCTTTGTCATATTGCATTTGTTTAAACACTGCGTTGGTGCCTATGAGAACCTCGCCTGGTTAACTAGTTTACTAGTTACTAGCCGGTCCTAAGCCCGGGTAAAGAGGGAAGGTTGGGCATAGGGCTAGCAACCCTACCCCGTAAAACAAATCTAACCGCTAAAGAAACTTCAAAGCACAAACAAAATATAAAAAATGAAAACAAACTTATTCCCCGCTGGAATCGGAGAGGCGAAATGACGCCAGTTGGTGAAAGCCTTCGGGAAGCCAATTGGCCGATGTGTCTTCTCTCGATGAAAGCGAAAGTAAACGTGGGGACATGGAATGTCCGCACGATGTTTGAACCCAGTAAGGCAGCCCAGATTGCAAGGGAGATGAGAAGGTATAACATCGAAGTGCTTGGGATTTGCGAAAGCAGATGGAATGGGAGTGGACTCTCCAAACTGTCAACTGGAGAATCAATAATCTACTCCGGTCACCCAGACGCCAACCACGAGCACACTGAGGGAGTGGCTATCATGATGTCCTCAAGAGCATCGAAGGCTCTCATGCAGTGGGAACCAATCTCCTCCAGGATCATGACAGCAAGATTCAACTCAAAAGGAAGAAAGGTCACAATCATACAATGTTATGCACCTACAAATAATGCAGAGCAAGAGAAAAAGGAGGATTTCTACAGACAACTTCAATCAACACTGGACAAGACGTCAGTTGGCGATATCAAAATTCTGATGGGCGACATGAATGCCAAACTGGGAGGGGACAACACGGGAAGAGAACTAACCATGGGTCGAGAGGCACTAGGTGAAATGAATGAGAATGGAGAATTGTTTGCAGAATTCTGCGCATTCAACGATTTGGTGATTGGAGGCAGTGTGTTCAGGCACAAAGATATCCACAAAGCGACATGGATTTCACCAGATGGACACACTAAAAATCAAATCGACTTTATCTCAATCTCAAGAAAATGGAGACGCAGTCTACTTAACACAAGGTCAAGAAGAGGAGCAGATGTAGGTTCAGACCACTACCTAGTGCAAGGAACCTTCCAAATCAAGTTAAAAGCCTTCAAGGAAGCTGGTGATAGACCTC